AAATGGTGAAGCACGAGGAGGGCCTTCAGCCAGTAGCCTCTGCACCACGGCCCGTACTCAACGCGGGCAAAGAACCTGGGTGGAGTGAAGTGAACCTCACGGGAACCCACGGGATGCCGCGGGATGCCGCGGGTGATGTGAAGTGAAGTGTCCCTCGAACCCAGGAGGTGGCACCAGTCCGCGGCCAGAGCCGTCCAGCCCGTGGCCAGAGCCATCACTCACGGAGCACCCGGTGCTCACCGCATACCACAAGAGCGCGACTGGACAAAGCCGTCGAACAGGGTACACAGACTGACGAGCGTGCCTAGCTCGTTCCCAACCCTGATACCACGGCCTGTGTCAAAGTGGCGCGCCGCAGCCCGCTGCTAATATCCTCACTCCAGGAGATGACCCGGTGCAGTGGGGGGGTGATTGCAGCCGGACCCCAGTGAAAGTGCACCTCACTCCCAGGAGGACGCACGTGAACTGGCCCAGCTCCTTCCCCTGCGGCCAGTCAATAAGCAGCCTGGAGACTTGCAGACCTTGAGTGTCACAAGCCGATGGGACGCCACCATCGTACCCATAGCACAAGGAGGGGGGGAGGAGAGCAGCCGATAGCCGCTAGCAGTTGAATAAAGCGAAGGACCCGAGCGAACCCAACACGAGCCAGTGGGGACACGCGAAGCGTCAAGAATTCAAACTGCGCGCCGCGCACCGGCGCGCCTCGTGTCTGGAAGTCAATCCGCCCAGCTGGCCTCCAGGGCCAGGAGCCTGGCCCTCCGCCAAGCGCATAGGGCACTGGAGCCCCGTCCTCGCGGACGGGCTCGCCCTGCACAGCCCCCCTGGGAACGGCCAAGGAGGCCGGGGCTTGGCTGGAGGACAAGAGGAGAGGCTACGAGTTGGGAGTGGAGGAGAGGAGGCAGGAGGAAGGGAGGAAGGGAGGGAGGGAGGAAGGAAGGGAGGAAGGGAGGAGGGTGGAGGAAGAGACCCCGCCGCCGCCACCCGCCAGCCGCCTCTCGCCCTTCCAGGGTTTCCCCCCCGCCCCCCGTGGGCAAGATCGGTGCAGCTGGGCCGCCGGACTGCGGCACGTTCTGGTACCTCGCAGGCCGCCCGCTCGCCGACGCCGTCGCTGCCGCTGCCGTCGCCGGCGCGCCGTCGCTGCCGCTGCCGTCGCCGGCGCCGCCGGGCGATAGTGACGAAGGCGAAGAAGTGGCGCGAACAGATGCCACTTCGATACAGTTGCTAGTACCACCCGCGCTTCTGAACTCTTGGCTTCCCCTTCTGCGACTCCGCGAGCCCCCACGACTCCACTCCCAGGAGTCCACTCATGGGGACCACGGACTCGCGGCCCCCTCGGCCCCCTGAGCTCCCTGGGCTCCTTGGACCCCCATGGACTCCCTGGACCCCGAGCCTCTCTGGATTCCCTAGACTCCCTGGACCCACTGGATTCTCTGAGCTCCTTGGACTCGCCGTACTCCATAGGTCCCCCGGACGCCCTCGACCCCCCTGGAGACTTTCCATCTCGCGGATTCCTTCGACTCCCTAGACTCCTAAGACCTCCTGGACTCCCTTGGCGCCCTGGACCCCCCAGACTCCCTGACCCCCTGGACTCCAAGGGCTCCTGATACTCCCTGACACCACGAACCCACTGGACTCCCTGCGTTCCGCCGTGGACTCCCTGGCACACCTGGACTCGCTGGACTCCCTGGACTCCCTGGATTCGCCACCCTCCCTAGACTGTCTGGACTGTCTGGACTCCTTGGACCTCCTGGGCTCCGTAAACCACCTGTTGACTCCCTGGGCCCCCTAGATTCCCCCCGACTCCAGAAGTTCCCTGGACTCCCAAAGACTCCCTGGACCCCATGGGTTCCCTGGACCCCCTGGACTGCCTGGACTTCCTAGACTCTCTGGGCCCCCTACACTCCCTAGACCCTCGGACCCCCTGGACTCCCCAAACTCCTCGGACCTGCTGGACCCCCTAGACTCCTAAGACTCCGAGCCAGGGCCAGGGTCCGATCGAACAGAACTCGGCCGCTCTGCGGGGCACGGACTGAGAGGAAAAATCCCACAAGCCCTCTGGGCGCAGGTGATCCAACGAGCGTCTGTTCCAGGGGCACGGACTGAAAGGAAAAATCCCACAAGTCCTCTGGGCGCAGGGGATCCAACGAGCTTCTGTTCCAAAGCCACTTCCCTTCGGGGACAGTGCCCTCCCGCTCCCCTCCCCGAGGTTTCTTGGGCCTGGTGCCGAGCGCTCAGGGCAACCCAAAATGGCCCAAGAAGGCTCCAAAAGACCTCAGATGCTCCAAGATGGCCTCCACGACGGCCGAAACTATCCGAAGATGGCACGATATAGCTTCAGACATGCCTCCGAACGGCCCCGCGAGGGCCACGAGACGGCCCCAAGTGCTCTCGGAGCCCCCCAGGGACCCCCTAACATGCCAAAATCCTTCAAACACCTCCGGGGGATGAATGAGTTGTGCCTTCTAGCCTTTTCTCGTCAGGTGGGCTTTTCAGACCTAAGGTGGCCCCAAGATGGCCCAAGAGAGGCCCAAGAGGTGCCCAGGAGGCCACCAAGACGGCCCCAAAAGCGTCCAAGAGGCGAGTTTGATGGCCGCAGAGGGGGAACAGCCAGAGGACCCCTCCTGTTTGATCGATAGCCTCCACGATGGCCTCAAGAGGCCCTTCAGGGCTCCCCAAAGGCCACCAAGAAGGCCCCAGAGAGGCACAACAAGGCGCCAAGACACTTCAAAAGAGCCCCATGAAGACCGCAGGACCTTCCACGGGGGCCCCAAGAGGACCCTAAGAGGACCCCACGAAAACCTCAAGAGGACAACAAGAAGACTCCAAGAAGGCTTCAAAAGTTCTCGTCCTCCTTGTCCTCCTCCGCCTCTTACTCCACCTCCCCCTCCTCAGCCTCCTCCTCATCCTCCTCTTCCTCCTCCTCATCATCAGAATCAGCAGCAGCAGCAGCAGCATCACCACCACCACCACCATCATCATCATCATCATCATCATCATCATCATCATCATCATCATCATCATCATCATCATCATCATCATCATCATCATCATCATCATCATCATCATCATCATCATCATCATCATCATCATCATCATCATCATCATCATCATCATCATCATCATCATCATCATCATCATCGCCATCATCATCATCATCATCAGCAGCAGCATCAGCATCATCAGCAGCATCATCATCATCATAATAATCATCATCAGCAGCAGCATCCTTTGTTGTCCTCGTCATCGCCTGCGTCTCGTCTTCGTCTTCGTCGTCGTCGCCCTCCTCCTCCTCCTCCTCCTCCTCCTCTTCATCGCTTCCGTCTTCCTCCTCCTCATCATCATCCTCATAATCATCATCAGCATCAACATCACCATCACCATCATCATCATCATCATCAACAACAACAACGTCGTCATCATCGACATCATCGTAACATCAGCATCATTTGCATCATCATCATCATCATCATCATCAGCAGCAGCAGCAGCAGCAGCATCACCATCATCATCATCATCAGCCTCGTCGTCCGCCGCCTCCTCCTCGCTCCTCTTCATTCTCCTGCTCCTCCTCCTCCTCCTCCTCCACCTCCTCCTCGCTGACACCAAGAGAGCCCCGAGAGACCTCCAAGAAAACCGCAAGAGGATACTAAGAGGACCCAAACATTGATCCTTCAGAGCGGCTGCTTCACTGCATGCTTATACATTTCCCTGATCAGGGCAACTCGCCTGGTGATCGCTTCTGGATGGGTTGGTGGGGATACTTTTTTGGTCGGCGGCTCCCTGGCGAAGGTCAAGAAGCGGGGCAACGAACGGGGCGCGAAACGAAGATAATTGGCCGCAAAAGTTGGTGGGGATACGCGAAGTGTCAAGAAGTCGAGCTAGAAAAATACACGATCAGGCTGCGTTGCACAAGGAGGGAGAGGAGGAGGGGCTCCAAGATTCCCTGGACTCCAAGAGCAGGAGACCCCCCACCCAAAGGCTTCCTTGACACCCTGGACTTCAAGGACTCCCTGGATCCCCCGGGATCCCGGTGGCGTCGCAATTTCACGCGCCGTCGCAAAAAATGGTTGATCGGAGGTTGGGGGGTGAGATCGGGGGGTGAGATCGAAATAAAACGGAGAGGCCCCCCACCGGGAAATCGGTTTCGGTTTCGGTTTTGTGTCGCGCGTGCAGGTGGGGAAACGCGCCGGGTTTCGGTGGTCGTGCAGGTACGACCACCCTTGGGAGGGGGGGAAGAACCAACTGAGGACAAGTGCGGTGATTGTGATGGTGGCGACACCGACGGGACACCACGGCGGGACACCCAAGGCCACCGCCCGCGGACAACGACGGGACACCGAAAGGACACCACGGCGGGACACCCCCAGCCACGCTGGCCCACCAGAGAAGCGGTTTTTTGTCTTGACGCACCCTAGCCACAGCGGGGTCATTCCTCTCGCCCGCACACGCAGCTTCGCCTCGCCCGCACGCACGATACGAACCCGAAACCTATACCGATTTCCTGGTGGTGGGCTCTCCGTTCCACTTCGATCTCACCCCCCAACCTCCGATAATGTAATACAAGTGTCCCCGCTCCCACCCCACTGCATCGAACGTCTGCAACTGTTGCATCTGATCATTATGCAAATATGTGTTGACAATATTCATCGCATCTGCACGATCATCCTTCGGGTGGTCCAGAGGTTTGGGGGGGAAGAACCAACTGAGGACAACTGCGGTGATTGCGATGGTGGCGACACCGACGGGACACCACGGCGGGACACCCCCAGCCACCTCCCGCGGACACCGACGGGACACCGAAAGAACACCACGGCAGGACATCCAGGTGGAACACCCCCGGCCACACCAGCCCACTGGAGGGGCGGTCTGTCGTCTTGACCCGCCTCAGCCGCAGCGGAGTCATCCCTGTCGCCCGCACACGTAGCTTCGCCTCGCCCGCACGCACGACACGAACCCGAAACCGAAATCGAAACCGAGTTGTTGGGGGGCTCTCCGTTCCACTTCGATCTCACCCCCTAACCTCCGATCGACATTCACTGTTTTGGCGACTGCCCTCTTGCATTCCTGCTCCCCCCCATCCGTGCTGCCCGACACTGCTATTGTCATCGGTGTCACGTACCCCCGCCGACACGCACCCAAGTCGGGCATTGCAATCTGCTCAAATGGTACGCATAAGATCACTCATATGTGATTCATCCGACGTCCTTCCCGAACTAACCGTATCGCATAGTTGCTGCACATGCTGACTTCCATGACCACTGTGCGGAAAACATGTTGACATGACCCGCAAGCTGAAAGAGCCCGATCGAACGTCCACAAACGCGACGCGACGACTTGCCCGTTGCAAACAAACAACATGGTTGACTCAATGGTTGCGCACAGCGATGGCAACACCGCGATGTTTGTCAACTAGATATGAGCCGATGAATGCATACCAACCTTCTGCGATGCAGGGCTATTCTTTCAAAACCGCTATGCTTCGGTAAGTATTCTGGCGAAGGGCCCAGCCATATGCAGCTGCGAATGCCGCGAGATAAACGAGAAGAAGGATGTGGAATAACACAGGGACGGACTCGCCACTGGGACCTTCGGTGGAACTCCCCTTGCGGCCACGATCCTCGCGACGGGTACGCCGAAATGGGCGGGGGGACGCTTTTGGACCCTGCCATTAAGGCCTTCGGCGGAGCTCTGTTTGGGACAACGATCCTTGCGAGGAATGTGCTGAGATGGGTTGGGGCACGCATGCGAACTCTGCCGCTGGGGCCTTCGTTGGAGCTGCCCATGGGGGCACGACCCTTATGAGGGGTGTTGCGCTATGGGCGGGGGGACGAATGCGGACCCTGCCGCTGGGGCCGTCGGCTGAGCTCCCTATGGGGCCGCGATCCTTGCCAGGAATGTGCCGACGTGGGCGGGGGGGCACATGCCGACCCTGCCACTAAGGCCTTCGGTGGAGCTCCCACGGGCCCCGATCCTCTCGAGGGATGGGCCAGGGAGGGCTGGGGCGGGGGGGCATACGGACCCTGCCAGTGAGGCCTTCGGCGGAGCTCCCTATGGGACAACGATCCTTGCGGTGGATGTGCCGAAATGGGCGGGGGGACGCATGCGAACCCTGCCGCTGGGACCTTCGGTGGAGCTCCTCATGGGGGCACGACCCTTATGGGGGGTATGGCGAAATGGGCGGCGGGACGCGTACGGATCCTGCCGCTGGGGCCGTCGGTGGAGCTTCCTATGGGGCCGCGATCCTTGCGAGGGGTGTACCGAAGTGGATGGGGGGACGCATGCGGACCCTGCCACTAGGGCCTTCGGTGGAGCTCCGTCTGGGGCCACGATCCTCGTCAGGGGGTGTGCCAAAATAGACGTACGGAGGGCAGAGGCAGGGATGGGAGGAGGGGGCATGGCAGTGGGAGGGAAGGAGACGCGGAGCGCTCTCTTCAAAACAGTGACCCGGCACCACTGCGTGGTGCTGGGAAGACCAACACACAAAAACCCAATATCATGGGATCCGACTCGGCGATGATCTCTGCAGCGCTGCCCCTGGAGCACAGACCCCGACACGCAGTTGCGGCACGATCACCCTGCTGGTCTCCCCCTGCGGTCTCCCGTGAGGTCACCCGTATGCTCTCTCTCTCGTGCGGTCTCCCCAGCACGGTCTCCCCTGCGGTCTCCCGTAGATGGTCTCCTGCCTGACGTCCCGCACGCTCACCCTGATGGCCTGCCGCGAAAAAAAAATCTCCCGTGAAGTCTCCCGTGCGGCTTCCCGCGCGGTCTCCCGCGGCGTCGTCTCGCGCAAGATCCCCCACCGTGGTGTCCCGCACATTCTCCCCTGCGACGGTCGCCCGCACGGTCTCCGCACGCTCCCCCGGTGCGGCCTCCCGCGTGGTGCCCCCCACGGCACATCTAACGCCTCCCGTGTGGCCTGCCGCGTGCCCTCCTCCGGTCTGGCATCCCGTGTGCTCTCTTCCGTGTGGTCTCCCCTGCGGCCTCCCGTGGGAGCTCCCCTTTGGTCTCCCGCGTGATCTCTCCGACTGTCTCCCCTGTGGCCTCCCGGCATGGTCTCCCGCGTGGTCTCCCGTATCGTGTCCCGCATGGTCTACCGCATGCTCTCCCGTGTGGCCGTGCGATCGCCTGGAGGGTCTCCTGCATGCTCGCCCCCGCAGGATCTCCTGGATGTTCCTCCGCGTGTTCTCCCACTGTGGCCTTCCCCACGGTCTCCCGTAAGGGCTCCCGCCTGCTCTCTCCCGTCGGATCTCCATGTTCTTATGTCCCGTGACTGGGTAGTCGAAGCCAATCTGGCGCCAATCTGGCAGGCCCAATCTGGCAAACGGGGGCAATCTGGCGAGGGAGCCAACGCGAATCCCGTCTGGCGAATCACCCAAATCATCCAGTTTGGCCAGGCCAGATTGGCCCTTGGGGCCCAATCCAATCTGACAGTCTGGCCTTCGACTTCCCAGCGTGAGGTCTCCCATGCGGTTTTTCCCATGTTGTCTCTCGCGTCCAGTCTCTGCATGAGCAGAGCAGTCCAGACTGATGCTCTATTCACTGCTTGATCGTGCTGCTCCGGGGATGATGCCGTCCACATAACCATGTTTTCATACCCGCTGCATCGAATCGAAGGTCAAGCTCAACAGAGGGGGCCACTCCACCATGCCGACGAAAGCCTTGAATCAATGGTGGAGGCGTGAGACACATCCTGCGCAAGAGACGCAACGAAAATTCCACGGCGCAGCGTAGCAAGCCAGTGAAAAGTTGCTGGGGAGAGCAGGCAGCGGTATGGGCACGAGCACTCGAGGAGGTCCGCACGGGGAGCTCGTGGGCGGCGCCGCCGGGGGAAGGCGGCACCGCTCCAGGCAGTCCGCGCGAGCTCCGGCAGCACGTGCCCAGTGCTCCTCGTGCTATAGCATCTCACGGGAGCCTCCCCTACCAGCTTGTCCGCTCGTGCGAATCGACGCTGGTCAACACTAAATCCTCGCCAATCGGCGCCAAGCCGACGCTGACCCACGCTAGATCGGCGCTATCTCATCGACTCCCAGACGCCTATCGACGCTGAGGGCGGAACTGAAGAGGGTGTACCAGGCTCCCATGATCTGCTACCGAATTATTCGGCTGTTGGCCTCCTCAGGTCGAACTGGGCGGCACTTTGTGCAGCGCTCGCTGCAGGCGCCTCGTGCCGTCTTTGGTTCTAAGAGACGACGAAGTCTCCTGGCACTGGCGCGCCTCAGGGTGGCTCGCCAAATCTGCAGCGCGGGCAAGAGCAGGCAGCAGGTCACACAGAACAGCGCATGGTGAGAAGAAGCATCAACGCAGCGCGCACGCGAACCGTAAGCATTTGGGCCCGTGAGCCGCCTCGAGCAGCGTGCATCGCAGCCACCGTACTTCTGGCCGTGGTCCCGAGAAGAAGCCATGTGCTGGCGAGCGCCTCGTTCGCCATCGTCGCGGACCTAGCCCCAGCCGCCGCAGGCGCTGCACCACTGCAGCGCGAGCGTGCGGGAGACAGCAACGGCCCTCCTCGTTCATGAATGCATTGACGCGTCGAGGGCGCAACGGGTGAGGGCCAAGCGGGGAAACTGCGGGGGAAGCTAAGATATCCTGCCGGGCCCTCGTGGGTCGAGCCCGGCGATGTCGGAGGACGCCGTGAAATGCACAGCTATCCACAGGCATTGTGATCGACGTACGCTGTGCTACTTCCTTGCGCATATGATAGGGTGCCCGGCGAAGAGAAGAAGAGCACAGCGAGCACACTGTGCAGAGCAGATCCTTCAATTCTGCAGTGCAACCAGAGCCACTAATGATGTCCCTCCACAGTGTGACTCCTTCTCCTCCTCCTCCTCCTCCTCCTCCTCCTCCTCCTGCTCATCCTCCTCCTCCTCATCATCATCAGCAACAGCAGCATTATCAGTAGCATCATCATCACCATCACCATCACCATCTCCATCACCATCACCATCACCATCTCCATCACCATCATCATCATATCAGCACCGTCGTCGTCATCATCATGAATCATCATCATCATCATCAGCAGCAGCAGCAGCATCAGCATCAGCATCAGCATCTGCATCAGCATCAGCATCAGCATCAACATCAATATCATCATCATCATCATCATCATCATCATCATCATCATCATCATCATCAGTATCAGTATCAGTATCAGTATCATCATCATCATCATCATCATCCTCATCATCATCATCATCATCATCATCATCATCATCATCATCATCATCATCATCATCATCATCATCATCATCCTTGTCCTCCCCCTCCTCCTCCTTCTCCTCCTCCTCCTGTTTCTCCTCCTGCTCCTTCTCCTCCTCCGTCTCCTTCCCACCCTCTTCCTAATCTTCCTCGTCCTCCTCTTCATTATCTTCCTCGTCCTCCTCACTAGGCATCCAGCACTACTGGACCGAGCATCGGGTGGGACGCGTAGGCAGCCAGGCATCCAGCCGATCCGAGGCATCCAACACCCCGAACAAAAACTCGGGCCTGGTACGACGGCACTCGTGGCCTGCGGAAGCAAGGTTCTAGGCCCCCCAGGGCCGTCTAACCTGCGGCTCAGGATGAAAAAGCGGCCCCTGGGAAGGGATCGGGGACCCCGAGCCCACTCATCGAAAAAAAATCGGCGCCAGATGTCCTCGTCTTCGTGCTCTGCGTGTCGTTTCTTGCTTGGCAGCCGCTTGCGCAGAATCGCAGCGAAGTCGGAAGAGCAGCGCGGCTGACTGACGCGCGCCCGAGGGAACAAGCTGTGTGTGTGTGTTTTTTTCCCACCGTGTGTTGTTTTTGTTCCCCACAGTGTGTTTGTTGTGTGTGTGTTTGTGTGTGTGTGTGTTTTTTTTTGTGTGTGTGTTTTGTGTGTGTTTTTGTGTGTGTGTGATTTTTCCCACGGTGTGTTTTTTTTCCCACCGGCAAGGGAAGCAGCCTCGATAGGGGCATCCCCCGCAGACAGCCTCAACCGCCCACGCAGAGCCACGCCGGGCCAGAAGGCGCCAGAAGATCTCGAGGCGCGTCTCCGTGCAGCCACAGCGAGGGCGGCGCACGGGAGAGGATGTCTCCTCCTCCTCCTCCTCCTCCTCCTCCTCCTCCTCCTCCTCCTCCTGGGTCCTCCTCCACCTCCTGGGTCGTCCTCCCCCTTGCAGGGCTTGCCTCGGGGCCCACGGGAGCGGCTCCCCTCAGCAGGAGGACCCCGTTTCACTTGAGAGATGAGTCGGTCCCTTGGCCGTCGCAGGGATGGCAATTCGCTTCGATGCCCTTTCGAAGCCAACTGTGTCAGAGGCCGTCACAAACGTTATGTTCAGCTCAGCTACAGCCAAAAACCCCAACGAGGACGCGCGGTAAGGACGCAAGACCCTCGGAAGCCGAAGTTGGGCTTTTTGGGGGGCGGCGGACGACGAAAACCCCAGGGACACAAGAGCAAGGAAGAGCAAGGACGCAAAAGGGTACCCTGAGCAGAGTCGCGCGTCCTCATTAGGGTTTTTGCCTGTACTCCTCCTGCCCCCACGCGCTCCCGAGGTGTCCAGACCTCCCTGGGCCACGCGCGGGGCCCTCCCAGCCACGGCCAACGTTTGGCGGTGCGCAGAAGGGGGTGGAGGGAGGGGGGAGGGCTTCTTGGAAGGAGGCTGCTTCTTAGAAGGCGCTGGCCTTACGTCTACAGATAAGGCCCGCGCCTTCTAAGAGGCAGGGGTGCTTCTAAGAAGCCCTCCCCCCTCCCCCCATCCCCCCTCTGCGCGTGGCAGAAACTTCCCATCGAAGTTCTCGTCGGCACGCACTCCAGGAAAGGTCCACGGATCGACGCTGAGCGGAGGATAGCCACACGCACAGGCGTGACGAAAAAACACCGCGGGCGTTTTTGTTCGCTGTGTCGGCCCCTCTAAGGGCCGTGTCCCGTCTTTGGGACCATCGGAAAACGACCTGTGACGAAGAGCTGGTTCCAAGGGAAGCCACGACGCCCGACCGATTCCGGATCCGGCAACGCACGGTAGGCAAATGGAGGCCGCGGGAAGCAACGTGAGGCCACGTGAGGCCAGGTCGCTCGACCGATTCTGGATCCAGACCTGGCAACACACTGACTGGTTTCTTTCGGAATAAATAGAGAACCCTTACAAGCCAGCTGTTTCGAGAATGTCATGGCGTGAGAGATCTGGGTCGCCACCCCTCTCCCATGTCCCTACAAATAGCGACTCGTACCCAGCGTCTAAACCAGGCCAGCTTCCAGCTTACTCTTGATCCCGTGCACGCTTTCCCTGGTCTCGCGGAGCTCCCGCAGTATGGTCATGACAGAAGATGTGCCCTTCAGCGTAGCCGTGCCCTTGACGAGCTTCTCGGCGGTGAGCAGCCCGCTGCCATCGTCTATCATCCTAAACAGGCTGGTTGCGTCCTGGGCCTTGATATCTTGAGCACGCAGCCAGATCTGCACCCACTCGTTGTCGCATATCGCATCCCACTCTTCCATATTGACTGAGCCATGTCCCTCCTTGTCGATCTCTCTGAAGAGTGCTTGCATTTTGTCCGAGTGAGATTTCTCGCGCATCAGCGCCTGCCTCACCATGATAGCGTCGTCCATCTGAACCACCTGAAAGGTCTCCTGGATGAAGACTGCGCCAATTCGCTGACCCAACGGGGCACAGGCGCGTTAGATCGTGCTTAGATATCTGATGCGAGCGCGAGGGCGGCCCTGGGAAGCCTGCGGACCTGATTAGGGCCGAAATCGCTCCAAGAGCGCCCCAAGAGCGCGGGTCAAGTGCAGGCCCCAAGAGGGCCTGCAAGATGACCTCAAGACGGCTTCAGCATGGCCCCAGGGTGGCCGAGGATGGCCCATGGACTTCAACGACGGCCCATGACGGCTGAGTAACCCCACCCTGAACGGCCAAGAATACCCTCTCCAAGGCTCCAAAGACAGACGGGCAGAATCATCGAAACAGCATGTGGTTGTTACTACTGTGAGCTCCTGCCTCCTTGCCCCTTGTGGGATACCCCCTAGGCTTCTCGGGGGCTCCGCGGTGGCCCCCAAAGTGGTCCTCCCAGAGATCGCAATGAGGGCCCCCCTCCCCTCCCTCCCCTCCCTTCCCTCCCTCCCCTCCCTCCGCCCCCTCTCCTCCCTCTCCTCCCTCTCCTCCCTCTCCTCCCTCTCCTCCCTCTCCTCCCTCTCCTCCCTCTCCTCCCTCTCATCCCTCAAGAGAGTTCCAGGATGGCCCGAAAGTGCCCGAAGAGGGCCCCAGGGCGTCCCACGAGGAGGAGCCAGCGGAAGGTAGGTCCCAGAATGGCCCCAAGGCGGCTCCAAGCTCCCACGGGGACCCCAAGACGTCCCAGGTAGATCGAAATGGTCAAAGACTGCCACGAGGCCCCAGGAAGCCTCCTCAGAGGCCCCCGTGAGGCCTCCAGAAGACTCCCAAAGACCCGCAAGAGTCTTCCGAGATGCCCTGGCAGCCCGCGAAGAGTCTGTCCAATTGCCTTCTCGTTATTTCGGGCATCGATGGCCGGACTTGGATAGAGACGCGTTCCGTTGAGCGCAGCATTCTGCATACCCAGCGACTGATCCTCTCCCACGCGAACTTCACACGACAGACTGGGAAAACTACCACTCTCAAACAACTCCTCAATGCCCACGCAAGTAAATAGCAAGGACGATATAACACGGGCTGGCGGAATGTGCGAATCGGTTGAATGACGCCTACTGCGGCAACTCCGAGCATGCATTTGTGCAGCACTGCGTACACTATAAACACTTCGTTGACATTCTCCACTAGGACCCTGGCAGGAGTTATCCAATTTGCGAACGTGAACTCGAACATCGTGAGGAATGAGCGCGAGAAAGATCCAAAGTACTCGTATACCTGCTGTTGACCAGCGAGATCAAAGGCCTCGTCACGAAAGTAATATTCCACGAGGACCTCGTTGAGACATATACCTAGCATTCCATGAACCACAACGAACAACACGATTGACCAAAGTGTGGCTACAAAGCAGTCTTGGAGAGCTGCCAGCATGACAAACAAGCTGTCCGACAAGTGCCCTCGCATGAATTTCAGAAGGCGGATGAGCCGAACAAGTCTTGCCAAACGAACCAGCCGCAAGAACTGGGCATTCACACCCGAGTCGAAAATTGCGCCCAGGAGCCAGAACAGAACAATCAACGCATCAACCCAATTCCATGCGTCCCTGATGAACTCGCCGCGCAGTCCCGCAATCTTGATCACGACCTCGAACAGAAAGAAAACCCCAAAAACCCAGTACGCAATGTCAAACATCTGTGCGGCGTGGGGCCATATTCGCTGACCACTGGGAGGAGGCCCTCGGCGTGTCAAGTACTTGCCCCTCCCCGAACACCTCCCCCGATCTCGGGTCCGGCCAGGGGCCCCCAGGGGCCCCCCCCATCCACGAAGCGGCCGCATCCGCTCTGGAAGTGCTCCCAAACGCCGCTACAAGTGCCCTGAATGCTTTGATATCATCTGTGTACACGCCTTGCTCTTTGCGTTTTCCACGCCCTGACAAAACATATTCCAGTTTATATATATATATATATATATATAGATTACCAAATAATAATAATAATAATTATTATTATTATTATAACAATAATAATAATCATAATAATATGTTGTAATATGTTTTATATTGGATTGTTTTGTTTTTCTATAAAAAAATGTACTCTAAACCACCATAGTTTCTATCAAGATGCCCCAGGTCGCTCCGTGACGGTCCAACAAAGTTCCGAAACGGCACCGGGATAGCCCAAGATAGAGTCGGCACTGCCCAGGAGGCCTCAAAACACGGCCCACGGCGCGCCCAAATGCGCCCACAGATGGTCCCGGCAGGGCCCCCAAGAGGGCCCCAAGAGGCAAAAACACCTAGCCAACACACCTGAGTTGTATGCTGCGCTGTTTACATTTTGACATACGCACCGTTTCGATATTCAGGGCGTTTGAAAAATCAGACGCCCCAAACAGATCGCCCCCATGACGGCCTAACAAAAACCCAAAGAATATCCCAAAACGGCCCAAGAGGGCCCCAAGCAGCCCAAAAGGCCTCCAAGTCTGCCCAGGAGACCCCCTAATTATGAAGGCCCCAGGAGGACCCCAAGAAGGGGAACTCGAAGGGGCCAAGGGCCCCTCTCCCGCAACATGGCCCCCACTTGGCCCCAAAAATCTCACCAAGAGGTCCCCGGTGGCCCCAAAGAGGCCCGTCCCCAAGAGGGACCAAAAACAACCCATCAGAGCAACATGTGAACACGGCTTCAGATTCCCAAGATGGAGGCATGGCGCCAAGACGCTTCTACGACAACACCACCGAGAGAATATGCACCCAAGACACCCAAGGGGTCGGCGGAACTCCGTACGCCAACGAATATCTGCGGCAGGCCCATTTTTACTCGCATGCCCAGTGTACTCAGCTAGGTCAAATCCTGTGTACTGAGCCTGTTTTGCCATGACCACACCGTTCAAGAAGATCGCTGTGCCAGACAACAACTCAAACCACGCGCTTTTGACGAGGTGCCACAGGCGGCCCTTCTCGAGCACTTCTCGCCGAGGCGGCTCCATCCCAATATGGAACTGGCCCTTATGCACATTGGCCAACCTGTCCGACAGGGATGCACCTCCGCAGCCAATAACGCCTCTGCCTCTGGCGAAGGGACTCGGCAAAGATCCACGCGAACCTGGGGAGTCCAATTATCAGCCAGCTCAGACTCCAAGTAGATCAGAAGACTGAAACGAAGTGGACCAAGGAGGGCTGAAGTAGACTGGATCGGACAGACACTACTCCACTCAACCCTACTCTACTCTAGTATATCAGACTCTATTATACCAGCTACCCTACTCTACTCTACTCTTATCTGCTCTACTCTACCTACTTTACCCTACCATAGCATACCCTAACCTGCTCTATTCGACTATGTTCTACTCACTGTATTCTACACTACCCTACTGTACTCTACTTCGACTCCATCCTGATTCCTGATCAATGTAAACTCCCACTTTCCACCGCAGCAGGCCGATAGCCGCTGGATCTGGGACCACCCACCATGCCTGTGCAGAAACGCCATAAAGTCTACGATCTTCGCCCCAACATGGAAGTTACGTCGCCCATGTTGCAAAAAATGCGTGGCAGGAGTGGGACGGGGCGCGCATCCCGCGCAAAGGGCCGACATGTCGCTCTCGCCATCGGCGCCGCACGCATTCCCCGAACAGTGCTTGCGCGGCTGTGGTCGCCGTCGCCTCCCGTTCGCCGCCCGTCGTCTGGGCCGGCGCGTCGGTCTGGCGGCCATGTGGTCGCCGTCGCCGCACCGTCGCCGCGTCGTCGCCCGTCGTCTTGGCCTGCGCGTCGGGTCCACCGCCGTGTGGTTGACGTCGCCGCCCCGTCGCCGCGTCGTCGCCCGTCGTCTTGGCCTGCGCGTCGAGTCTGGCCTTCGACTACCCCGTCGGGTCCACCGCCGTGCGGTCGGCGTCGCCGCCCCGTCGCCGCGTCGCCGCCCACCCGCCCGTCGCCCGGGCAGAGGGCAGCGGTGCGGCCGCCGTGTGTGGGCGCCGTCGCCGCCCGTGTCGCCGCGTCGTGGCGGTCCGCGCCCATGTCGCCGCGCTGCGCTGCAGTACTCTGAATGGCTTTCCACTGTCTTGCATTCTGCTGCATTGCTCTGCATCGATTTCCAGCGCTCTGGACTGCAGTCGCAGTGCGTTGCCCTGCGCTGCACTGCGCTGCACTGCGTCGCATCTATGTTTGCATTGCCTCTCTTTGCATTGCGTTGCATTGCGTTGCGTGGCTCTGCATGGATGTGCATTGCACTGCCCTTGCATTGCGTTGCATTGAGTTGCATTGTTTCGCATTGTTTTGCATGGGTTTGGTTTGAATTGCGTTACGTTGCATTGAGTTGCATTGCTTTGCATTGAGTTGCATCGTTTTGCATAGCTGTGCATTGCGTTGCATGGCTTCGTATTGCTTAGTATTGATTTGCCTTGCAATCGCATTGCAATCGCATGACAACCGCATTGCAATCGCATTGCAATCGCTGTGCACTGCTTTGCATGATTTTGCATTGCGTTGCATTTCATTGCATTGCGTTGCGTTGCATTGTTTGGCATTGCCTTGCATTGCGTTGCATTGCTCAGCATTGAGTTCCATTGCCTTCCATTGCTTTGCAATGCGCTGTACTGCTTCGCATTGCTTTGCATTGCTTTGCATTATTCTGAATTGCTTTACATTCCAATCACAATGCAATCGCATATCGTTGCTTTGCGCTGCGTTGTATTTCTTTGCATTTCGTTGCCTTGCTTTGCATTGCCCTGCATGGCACTGCATTTCTTTGCATTGAGTTGCATTGATGTCCATTGCATTGCTTCACATTGCTTTGCAGTGCCTTGAACTGATGTACATTGCTTTGCATGTTTCTGCATTGAGTTACATTCATTGGTTTGCATTGCGTTGCGTTGCTTCGCAGTTCGTTGCATTGCTTTGCATTGCAATCGCGTTGCAATCGCATTGCAATCGCATTGCATCGTTTTGCATTGCATTGCAATGGCAATGCAATCGGATTGCATCGCTTTGCATTGCGTTACATCGATTCGCATTGCTTTGCAGTGATTCTCCTTCCTAGAAAGAAAATAGAGTCTACATCCCCCCTGGAGTTATCCGTACCCCTATCCGGTATGTGAATCATATATGATTATGACCGCATGTTCATCCGAAATATGAATTTACACTATCCCCGGGGGGCCGGGATCGGTCCCCCTGAGGCTCCCTTATAACAAAACAATACGCGAGGACATGTGTTGTTCTAACCTAAGACTTGTTCACGAATCCCTTGCAAAAAATGAGACGAAGTGCACACGCGCGGGTCGTCGCGCGCGCATGCCGAAATCCTTCAAAAACCTTCGGTGTCGGAAGGATGTCGCAATCGAGTTCCCAGAAAACATATTGGAAAAAAACTGGCTTTCGCAACACTGATTTGCTAAAACAGCTTACGCGCGAGCTCTTGCGAAATCTAAAGAAAACAAAGAATTTTTCAAGATTTTCACCAAATGCTACCAAACGGGCTTCGCGCGCGCGCATGTCGAAATCTGTCGAACGCCCTTGTGCGTGTGCCGTCGCGAGAATCCTCTGCAAAAAATTGGACGAAGTGCAGACGCGCGCGTCGTCGCGCGCGTATGCCGAAATCCTTAAAAACCCATCGGTTTCGGAAGGAATTCAAAATCGTGTGTCCACAAAACCTACAAAAACACAAAGTTTCGCATCACGGATTTTCAACACAAGCGTGCGCGCGCGCTCTTGCGTCGTCGTCGTCGTCGTCGTCGTCGTCGTCGCCGTCCTCCCTCCTCCCGCGTCGTCGTCGTCGTCGTCGCCTACGTCGTTCTCTGTCTTTCCTCGTGTTCGTCGTCGCCGCCCTCTTTGGCGTCGTGGTCGTTTCCGTCGTCATTGTCGCCGTGGTCGTCCTTCCTCCTCCTCCCTCGTCGTCGTCACCCGTCGTCGGCGTCTCGCCGTCGTCCCTCCTATTTCGTCGCCGTCGTCGTCGTCGTCGTCGTCGTCGTCGTTGTCGTCGTCGTCTTCCCTCCTCCCTCGTCGTTGTCGTGGGCGGCGTCGCCGTCCTTCCTCCTTCTTCGTCGTTCGCGTCGTCGCCGTCCTCCCTCCTCCCTGGTCGTTGTCGTCGTTGTCGTCGTCGTCGTCCTCCCTCCACCCTGTCGTCGACGTCTTCGTTGGCGACGTCGTCGTCGTCGTCGGCGTCGGCGTCGTCGTCTTCGTCGTCGTCGTCGGCGTCGTCGTCGTCGCCATCGTCGTCGTCGTCGTCGGTGTCGTCGACGTCGTCGTCGTCGGGGTCGTCGTAGTCGGTCTTAAGAGGTTTTGCAAACCAAGTTGCGGGTGGGTGGGTGGGATGTTTGCAAGAGCATGGGATGTGTCAAATCATTGGTTACAGTGACTTTGCACCACATAGGTTGCACCACATGGATTGCACCGCCTCGATTACACCGCGTAGGCTGCACCGCATAGACTGCAAGAAACCACTGTTTGGGGCCCACGCTCCCTAACATGTGTCGAAGCATTGAGCTCCCCTCTGGGGCGCGGCGTACCTTTTCCATGCGCCACCCCGTCGACGCGCGAGCGGGCGCAAACGTCGCCTGAAGCGGCGCTTCCGCTTTGACGCGGCGCATGCTCCCATGCGCAAGCCTCTTAGGAGAAACCACCGACACCACTGCTCCGCTGACCTCTCCCGGGAACGCCCCGCCCGGAACTTCGAAGCGAGTCCAGACGTGGCGGCGAAGACCTTGTCTGCTGCACTGTTGACGCCATATTGAAACGTAGATTCCCAAATTCATGTCGCGCTTATGCTATCCAGCGTTCCTTGGCATCAGGCCAACGCTGTGCCATCCGATGCCGAACTACCGTTGCCTGTTTTGGTGGAGCGGCTCTCATCGAATGCGCCAAGCATTCGACCTCATGTGCGCTACTTTGAAGGCGCGTTGACAGTGAATCCGCCACCGCACCCCCTGGCACGTTGAGGCGCGTGTAAGGGAGTGGGAAGCGGCAAGGATCCGAACCCGCCAAAGATGCGTAGGATAGAGACTATCGGCGAGGTTTCCCTCCAGAGGGAAAACTCCTCAAACGATTCCCAAAAAATGCCGTGCCGATAGAGCAACCATTGGAGCTAAGAGAATGAAAGATATGGTCACACACACACTCTGTCTCTCTCTCTCACACACACACTTTCACACAAACACACACACACACACACAAACGCAAACACTTTTTGGGCGTCGCGGCCACGCGCGCAGCGGCGCGGCGTGGAACAGGTGGAACAGCTCACGCAGCGTGGAGAAACTGGATCAACCCACGGAGGCACTTACACACATACACACACAAAACATTAGCCTGGCGAAGGACCCAACCATATGCAGTTGTGGATACCGCACTCGTGGATACCATCTTCGCCAGCGCTCCCCACAGGGCCACGAACCGTGCGAGGGGCGCGCCAACATCCGCGGCGCGGCGCACAGCGCGAACGAAGACGATAGGTCTGCGTGCGAGAGACTGAGAGCGGGTGAGTCTGAGCGCGAGTGAATCTGATTGTGGACGAATCTTCGCGCGCGTGAGTCTACGCGCCAAAATGTCGACGCCCATGTCGGGCGCCGCCCAAGAGGATCGCGTCCGCTTCATTCCGTTCCTTCCGTGCGGCGCCGCGCCCGCAGCCGCCACGACCCGCGCCGGTCGCCCCGAAGGGGTCCCGGAGACGCGCGCGGGTCGTCCGCTGCGCGGAACAGAGAGAGCTAGCTTGCTGGCTGATAGCGGGCAAGGCTCTGGCCGCTGGGCAGAACGACGACGGGGGCGAGCGAGGCGCTCGGCAGAGCGCAGCATGGAGTTCCCACGACGTGCGCTGGTCGCCAAGAGAGGGTCTCAGCGACCCGCGCGGGTCGTCCGCGGCGCGAGGCCAAACAGTCAGACCGCCGAGAGACGCGAGTCTCGGGCGGGCCGCTCCTCAGGTCAAGCCTCGCGGATAAACTCGGTGAAGCCCAGCTCCCTGGCGAGGGCCGTCGCCCCTCGGGTGTGCCAAAATGGGCCGGCGCCGCCATGCGAGTTCCGCCACTGGAACCCTAGGTGGAGCTCCCTCTGAGGGAGGCGGCGACGCCATGCGAGTTCCGCCACTGGGACCTCAGGTGGAGCTCCCACGAAACGTATGATGAGGGCGCCACAATTGGGCGGGGCCGCCATGCGAAACCTGCCACTGGGGCCTTCGGTGGACCTCCCTACGGGGCCACGAAACGTGTGAGACGTGTACCAAAATGGGGCGGTGCCGTCCTGCGAGTTCCGCCACCGGGACCTCAGGTGGAACTCCCTATGGGGTCACGAAACGTGTGAAGGGCGTGCCAAAATGGGGCGGCGATGCCATGCGAGATCCGCCAGTGGAACCTCAGGTGGACCTCCTTTTGGGGCCACGAAACGTGTGAGTGGTGCGCCAAAATGGGGCGGCAATGGAATGAGAGTTCCCCCACTGCGACCTTGGGTGGAGCTCCCTATGGGGCCACGAAACGTGTGAGTGTTGCGCCAAAATGGGGCGGGGATGCCATGCGAGTTCTGCCACTGGGACCTTCGGTGGAGCTCGTAATGGGGCCACGAAACGTGTGAACGGTGTGCCAAAATGGGGCGGGGATGCCATGCGAGTTCCGCAACTGGGACCTTAGGTGGAGCTCGTTATGGGGCCACGAAACGTGTGAGGGAAGTACCAATATGGGACGGGGATGCCATGCGAGTTCCGCCACTGAGACCTTAGGTGGAGCTCCCTTTGGGGCCACGAAACGTGTGAGGGTCGTGCCAAAATGGGGCGGGGATGCCATGCGAGTTCCGCCACTGGGACCGTAGTTGGAGCTCCCTACGGGGCCACGAAACGCTGTACTGGGTGGGTGAAACGCAGGGAGGAGGGAGAGGAGGGAGGAGGGGGAGGAGGAGGAGAGGAGGAGGAACGCGGGGCACCGTCTCTTCAAAACGATGACCCAACACCACAGGATGGTTGGGAAAACACACACGCACACACACACACACACACACATACACACACGTACGCACGCACGCACGCACGCACGCACGCACGCACGCACGCACGCACGCACGCACGCACGCACGCACGCACGCACGCACGCACGCACGCACGCACGCACGCACGCACCACGCACGGACGCACCACGCACGTACGCACGCACGCACGCACGCACGCGCACACCCACCCACACACACACACACACACACACACACACACACACACACACACACACACACACGCGCGCGCGCACGCACGCACGCACGCACGCACGCACGCACACACTTGTTGGCGGTCGCGGCCTCGCGCGCGGCGACGTCGCAAGCAGTTGGAGCGGGCGCGCGCAACCAAGCCCTCAGGCGGGACCGCTTTAGATCACCGCACATGCCACCTGGGAAGGTGGACAGCGCATAGCCATCCTGGCGGGGAGGAGTCCACTGCCCGCCGCGGGACGCCCAACGCGGAGGTCGCAGCATGCAGCCGACGGGCAGCAGCACACAACCAAATGGGCGAGGCTGGCGGGGAGGTGAAGCACCAGCCGCGCTGTGGAAACATAACACAACCCGTTAGGGGCCTCTTGGGGCTAGCTTGGACCGTCCTGGCCCCCCCGAGGCAATCTAAAGGTGTGCGGCCTATCCCGCCTTCGTGCCTGCGCTGTGGTTGACTGGTCCAGGATCAGGGAAGGGGAGGAGGAGGAGGAGGAGGAGGAGGAGGAGGAGGAGGAGGAGGAGGAGGAGGAGAAAGAGGGGAGGCCTCCACCTCTTTGGGGCCTCTTGGGCTTTCCTGGGGGGCCTCTTGGGGGCCTCTTGGGCCTCTGAAGGGGCTCTCGGGGAGGCCTCTTGGGGACCTCCCGGCCACCGAGCGGGCTGGCCGGCGGGCTGCTGAGGCTGCCCTGGCTGCCCGCGGCCTTGAACGAGCTGCACGGCTCCTGCACGGCCGGGCCTGCGGCCGGCTGGGCCCGAGGCGGGCTGGCCGACGGCTCGCTGGGCGCCGGGGGCACGCCGTCCGCGGCGGCGCCGCGCAGCTGCTGCTGCAGCGCGTGCACCTCTCGGCGGTGCGCACGGTGCTGGGCGGCGCGAAAGGCTGCTCCGCACGTCGCAACAGAGCGGAAGAGGTCACAGCCCTCCCAAACAAGCAGTTCTAGAGCACCCCCCCCCCAAGACCAGCCATGCAAGGGTGGCCTTCGGCCCAGGCCCCACGAAAGCCTCCAGGACGGCGCAGATCAGGACCCCCCCCAAATGAGACCCCATTTCTCTGATGGTCTCTTGTGGTAAAATCTGGAATACGGTGCGGGCGCGGCCGCAAAAAACCCTCGCAAGAAACCCTCCCCTGAGAACCCGTGCGCGAGGTGCACCCGAGGGGAAACCTGGAGCACCCTGAGCGCAACAGCTTCTTCAACGGCCGCGGGAAGTCACCGCGCAGCGCGAGGAGCGAAGAAACCCAGGAGACCCTGACGAAAAGCAGATGGTTTCTGGACGCGCGCCCCCACTGTACCCGACGAAGGCAACTCTGCATGAACACAGGCGTTCGGAGGTCCGCGCGGACTCTTCGGGGGGTCGGCACTGCACCCCCACGGCGCGCCTCTCCGGCGCCTCCCCCGGCGCGCTCCTCCGCGCGCCAGGAAAGGGGGGGCCCACGGCCGATCCAGTCCGCGCGGATCCCCCGCCCCCTCCGTTCTTAACAAGTGTACCTCGACTACTACTACTACTACTACTACTACTACTACTACTACTACTACTACGACTACTACGACTACTACGACTACTACTACTACTACTACTACTACTACTACTACTACTATTACGACTACGACTACTACTGCTACTACCACCACTACTACTACTACTACTATTACTACTACTACTACTACTATTACTACTACTACTACTACTACTACTACTACTACTACTACTACTACTACTACTACCACTAGGCCTGCTACGACCTACGGCGGGCGGACAAAAAGTGTCCGCACTTGTCGCGCCAAGACAACTCGTCGTCAAATCACGTCGACCGAATATGTATACCCCCCTTTTCCCCCGACTCACAATTGGCGGGGTTAGGCGGCAGGCCGCGCGCCGGGGACAAAATGTGGACACTTCAACTTTGGGTTTTGGGGGGAGGGGTGCGAGGCAAGTGCATCATGCTGTTGCGGTTGTTATCACGTCGCAATGTCTTGCCGCCCTGGGTGTGGACACTTCTTGTCCGGGCACCGTCCGGGTTAGATGTGTTTGGTGGTTTCGTGGCGCTATCGTGCTTACATGTGAGCGTGCATTTGAGTGTGTGTTGGTGCGTGCTTATGCGTCCAGCACGACACGCAATTAGATGACGATGTGCGCGTATACGGAACCACGGGACACCTGCAGGACCACCGCGGGACAACCCATGGGACAACCCGCGGGACCACCACGGGACAACCCACGGGGCAGCCCTTGGGACAACCGTGGGACTACCCACGGGACAGCCACGTGGGACAACCGTGGGACTCCTCAAAGTCGGCGCCCTTCGCGGTCCGCGTTGCGGACCGCGAAGGGCGCCGACTTTGAGGAGTGGGGCCTGGCGCGCTTCCCCCCCCGCCGTCGCCTCCGACGGCGCGGAACTGGTAGAACTGGGTTAGAACTGGTCATAGAACTGGCCCGTTAGAAATAAGGTCCAGCCTAGCACTGGTCGCATTTAGAAGAAGAGTTATTCATATTCTTAAATTTCTTTAATTGGACCGACCAGTTCTAGGCTGGACCCTATTCTTATGGACCAGTTCTATGACCTGTTTTATGACCAGTTCTAGCAGTTCGATCCTGTTCTATCCAGCGGTGCCAGCCTCCGCCCGCTCCACGTCGGGGCGCGGGGGCGCAGGGCCGCCTGTGCGCGCTCTGGATCAGTGGCGATGCCCATGGCCGATCCACAATTGGAGGTCCATTGGCTTCGAGACCCTGGATTCCTTATCCAACGATTCCTTATCCAATGCCCTCGCCGTATTGTAGCGTGTGTTGGTGCGTGCTCATGCGTCCAGCACGACACGCAATGTGATGACGATGTGCGCGTATACGGAACCACGGGACACCTGCAGGACCACCGCGGGACAACCCATGGGACAACCCGCGGGACCACCACGGGGCAGCCCCCGGGACAACCGTGGGACTACCCACGGGACAGCCACGTGGGACAACCGTGGGACTCCTCAAAGTCGGCGCCCTTCGCGGTCCGCGCTGCGGACCGCGAAGGGCGCCGACTTTGAGGAGTGGGGCCTGGCGCGCTTCCCCCCCCGCCGTCGCCTCCGACGGCGCGGAACTGGTATAACTGGGTAGAACTGGTCATAGAACTGGCCCATTGGAAATAGGGCCTGGCCTAGAACTGGTCGCATCTAGAAAAAGAATTACTGGTATTCTTAAATTTCTTTAATTGGACCGACCAGTTCTAGGCCGGACCCTATTTCTAATGGACCAGTTCTATGACCAGTTCTATGACCAGTTCTACCAGTTCTATCCAGTTCCATCCAGCGCTGCCAGCCTCCGCCCGCTCCACGTCGGGGCGCGGGGGCGCAGGGCCGCCTGTGCGCGCTCTGGATCAGTGGCGATGCCCATGGCCGATCCACAATTGGAGGCCCTCTGGCTTCGAGACCCTGGATTCCTTATCCAACGATTCCTTATCCAATGCCCTCGCCGTATTGCAGCACCAATCAAGAGCAGAAGAACCACGGCGGGCGGACAAAAAGTGCCCACACTTGTCGCGCCAAAACAACTCGTCGTCAAATCACGTCGACCGAATATGTATACCCCCCTTTTCCCCCGACTCAAAGTTGGCGGGGTTAGGCGGCAGGCCGCGCGCCGGGGACAAAATGTGGACACTTCAACTTTGGGTTTTGGGGAAAGGGGTGCGCGGCAAGTGCATCATGCTGTTGCGGTTGTTATCACGTCGCAATGTCTTGCCGCCCTGGGTGTGGACACTCTTTGTCCGGGCACCGTCTGGGTTAGATGTGTTTGGTGGTTTCATGGCGTTATCGTGCTTACATGTGTGCGTGCATTTGAGTGTGTGTTGGTGCGTGCTTATGCGTCCAGCACGACACGCAATTAGATGACGATGTGCGCGTATACGGAACCACGGGACACCTGCAGGACCACCGCGGGACAACCCATGGAACAACCCGCGGGACCACCACGGGACAACCCACGGGGCAGCCCTTGGGACAACCGTGGGACTACCCACGGGACAGCCACGTGGGACAACCGTGGGACTCCTCAAAGTCGGCGCCCTTCGCGGTCCGCGTTGCGGACCGCGATGGGCGCCGACTTTGAGGAGTGGGGCCTGGCGCGCTTCCCCCCCCGCCGTCGCCTCCGACGGCGCGGAACTGGTATAACTGGGTAGAACTGGTCATAGAACTGGCCATAGAACTGGCCCATTAGAAATAGGGTCCGGCGTAGAACTGGTCGCATTTAGAAGAAGAATCATTGATATTCTCAAATTCTCTTTAATTGGACCGACCAGTTCTAGGCCGGACCCTATTCTTACTGGACCAGTTCTATGACCAGTTCTATGACCAGTTCTAGCGGGGGCGCAGGGCCGCCTGCGCGCGCTCTGGATCAGCGGCGATGCCCATGGCCGATCCACAATTTAAGGTCCATTGGCTTCGAGACCCTGGATTCCTTATCCAACGATTCCTTATACAATGCCCTCGCCGTATTGTTGCACCAATCAAGAGCATAAGAACCACGTCCAGGTTAGATGTGTTTGGTGGCTGCATGGCGTTATCGCGCTTACATGTGTGCGTGCATTTAAGTGCGTGTGTTCGTGCGTGCTTATGCGCCCAGCACGACACGCAATTTGATGACGATGTGCGCGCATACGGAACCACGGGACACCTGCAGGACCACCGCGGGACAACCCATGCGACAACCCGCGGGACCACCACGGGGCAGCCCTTGGGACAACCGTGGGACTACCCACGGGACAGCCACGTGGGACAACCGTGGGACTCCTCAAAGTCGGCGCCCTTCGCGGTCCGCGCTGCGGACCGCGAAGGGCGCCGACTTTGAGGAGCGGGGCCCGGCGCGCTTCCCCCCCCCCGCCGTCGCCTCCGACGGCGCGGAACTGGTATAAACGGGTAGAACTGGTCATAGAACTGGTCATGGAACTGGCCACTTGGAAATAGGGATTTAGAAGAATTATTGATATTCTTAAAATTCTTTAATTGGACCGACCAGTTCTAGGCCGGACCCTATTTCTAATGGACCAGTTCTATGACCAGTTCTATGACCAGTTCTACCAGTTCTATCCAGTTCTATCCAGCGGTGCCAGCCTCCGCCCGCTCCACGTCGGGGCGCGGGGGCGCGGGGCCGCCTGCGCGCGCTCTGGATCAGTGGCGATGCCCATGGCCGATCCACAATTGGAGGCCCTCTGGCTTCGAGGCCCTAGATTCCTTATCCAACGATTCCTTATCCAATGCCCTCGCCGTATTGTAGCACCAATCAAGAGCATAGGAACCACGGCGGGCGGACAAAGTGTCCACACTTGTCGCGCCAAGACAACTCGTCGTCAAATCACGTCGACCGAATATGTATACCCCCCTTTTTCCCCCGACTCAAAGTTGGCGGGGTTAGGCGACAGGCCGCGCGCCAGGGACAAAATGTGGACACTTCAACTTTGGGTTTTGGGGGGAGGGGTGCGCGGCAAGTGCATCATGCTGTTGCGGTTGTTATCACGTCGCAGTGTCTTGCCGCCCTGGGTGTGGACACTTTTTGTCCAGGCACCGCCCGGGTTAGATGCGTTTGGTGGTTTCATGGCGCTATCGTGCTTACATGTGTGCGTGCATTTGAGTGTGTGTTGGTGCGTGCTTATGCGTCCAGCACGACACGCAATTTGATGACGATGTGCGCGTATACGGAACCACGGGACACCTGCAGGACCACCGCGGGACAACCCATGGAACAACCCGCGGGACCACCACGGGACAACCCACGGGGCAGCCCTTGGGACAACCGTGGGACTACCCACGGGACAGCCACGTGGGACAACCGTGGGACTCCTCAAAGTCGGCGCCCTTCGCGGTCCGCG